CCCCCCAAGCCCGACCAAGCTCCGACCGATACCTCCTCCAACCCTGCAGTCTCCCAGCCCTTCCGGCTAACTCCCAGTTACATCCTGGGCATGACGTGCTGTGGTATGGAATAGCTCTTTGGTCAGTTTGGGTCAGGTGTCCTGTCTCTGCTTCCTCCCAGCTTCCCCTCCTCCCTGGCAGAGCATGAGGCTCACAAAGTCCTTGGCCAAACCAAAACATCCTTGTTATCAGCTCTGTTCCCGAGCTGAAAGTCAAAACACTGCACTGCACCAGCTACCAAGAAGGAGAAAAAATGACTGCTACTGCTGAACCCAGGACATTATCCACCCCTTATTCCATACCATTCACGTCATGCTCAGTTCCCACATTTTCAATATACCATCACTCTTATCTTAGTGCATGGACCAGTCCCTATAAAGCTGCTGAGTCCATCTGGTCCATGATGACAGGCTCCATCTCTTGTAACAGTCTTCCAGAGCAGGAGAGACTGTGTGCAGTGTTCACACTCGTGAATAACCTGGGCAATAGTGTCCATTGTTAAGTCCACCCCTCGATCATGAGTCCATCTCTGTGTTGCATCTCTGCTCTGATGGCCTGAAGTGCCATGGGCCCACCAGGTTTAAAATAATTCACTGTCCCCTTCAGCAGTTTCTGCAGCTTGTTGCTGGGAACTCCATACAGCTGCCTTCCATCTCCGATGCTTCCAAAGCACTGGAGGGGCCCAGTGGACTAGATACTTGCCCATACTGTCACACACACCCTGCCACTCCTGGCTGTCCAGCCTTGGGGAAAACCTCTTGGTCCCCCTGTATTGTCGTCTAACCCCAGACAAGACCCAAACCCAACTCTGCTTAACTTTTGAGATCAGACAAAATGGTTGTGGGTAGAACACAGTCTGTGTGTGTGCCAACATGCTGATCCCCATCACAATCCGCAGGCAGGTCCCAAGGGTACCCAAAGGCCATTCAGAGCCTTCAGAACTCTCAAACGACGCTGCTGTGCTTGTCACTGGGGCTGGTGTAGCTGCTGTGCTTGCCGGCTCTCCCACCGCCAGCTTCTCTTTTCCTGAGTCCAGCTCTTCCTCCTCTGCCTTGCTGGGAAATGCTGCGTGGTCTCCTGCATCCTCCTGGGGCTCGGCGGGTGGCTGCCGGGGAATGCTCTCGGCCGTCGCGGGGCTGGGCTCGGCCGGGAGGCTCGGCTCCTCCGCGGGGCTGGGCTCCTCCGCGGGGCTCGGCTCCTCCGCGGGGCTCGGCTCCTCCGCGGGGCTCGGCTCCTCCGCCGCCTTCTCCCTCTGCTCGGCAGCCGCCTCCTTCCTCTCCTCGACCGCCCCGACCTCCTCCACCGGCAGCCGTCCCCTCGCGGCCTCCGGCCCCGCTCCCGCCGCCGCTTGGTCCCCGGGGCCGCTCTCCCGGGCCGCTTCGGCTGCCGCCGGCTCCCGGGGCCGCTCCCCCTCAGTTCCCCGCAGCCTCACGAAGATGGAGAGTAGGGTGAGGGCCAGGACGGTGAAGAGCAGCCGGACGGCCAGGTACAAGTCCACGGCCACGTCCGTCCCGCCCTGCTGCTGGAGCCCACCCGTATTACAAGCCATTGCCATAAAGCACAGTGAGACAAGAACCTTAGCCCAGGCCCCGCACTTGATAAACACTATCACAGCAAATACCGGCTCTACGTAAGTTACAACGGTCTGAAGCTGTGAGATCAACAAGAACAACTCTGATACCCAATAAATCAGCATTGTGACGAGTGACTATTAATCCAGTCAAATCTGTCGTTATCTCAACCCTTCGTGCCCCACGTTGGGCGCCAAAAAGAACTGTCGTGGTTTAAACCCAGTCAGGTAATTCGTTCGCTCACTTCCCCCCCTTTCTTGCCCTCCCCCTGCTCTCGGAGGGACGGAGAGGAGAATCAAAAGAATGCAACTCCCACGGGTTGAGATAAGAACAGTTTAGTAACTAAGGTATAACACAAATCACTACTGCTACCACCAATGATAATAATGATAAAGGAAATTACAAGGGAACAGAATACAACACCTCAGCACCTGCTGACCGATAACTCGCCCCCCAAGCCCGACCAAGCTCCGACCGATACCTCCTCCAACCCTGCAGTCTCCCAGCCCTTCCGGCTAACTCCCAGTTACATCCTGGGCATGACGTGCTGTGGTATGGAATACCTCTTTGGCTAGCTTGGGTGAGGTGTCCTGTCTCTGCTTCCTCCTGGCTTCCCCTCCTCCCTGGCAGAGCATGAGGCTCACAAAGTCCTTGGCCAAACCAAAACATCCTTGTTATCAGCTCTGTTCCCGAGCTGAAAGTCAAAACACTGCACTGCACCAGCTACCAAGAAGGAGAAAAAATGACTGCTACTGCTGAACCCAGGACACCTCACAATTTGCATATTGATGATGTAATATTGCTCTAATATTTGTGATTATAAGTAAACTTACTGATAAGTCAGGCAGAGAGACTGAAGACAAAGACTTCTAGTATTACCTTTTACTGTCTCTGTAAACAACCCAAAGTACTTGAAAAATGTTTGTCCTTTAACAACAAAGATAGTGACACAAAGCACAAGAGAAAGCCTTTCACATCAACAGCAACAACAACAAAAAACAGAAAAAAGCCACCCCAAAACCAAAACCAAGAACAACAAAAAACCCACAAACAACACAAAAAAACACAAAACAACCACCAAACAAAAGAAACACAGACGCACAAATAAAAAGAAAAAAAAAAAACCACAAACACATACACACAAAACAACCCACCCTGACGTTGTAATTTTTGGAATGAGAAACGTTAAAACAACAAGTTTTTAGAATCTGCTGGGAGGGTTGTTTCCACTTGGTTTATCTGTAACTGTATTCTTTCTAATGACTAGGTGTCTATATGTCTGATAAATTTTGCTTATATTTGAATACTAGCTACTCCATGTAGAATGAAATACTTGTAACTAACATACTGATGTAGTAGTATATATTCATATAGACCTGGCACAATAACAGAAGTGGGAGTGCAAAATGCAGTATGCATGTGTAGGACATGCATGGAATAACAAGACAACGGACAGAGAGTGGCACTGGAAATCCCAAAGCTATAAGGATATTTAGCTAATTGTCAGTGAACTGTGAGACAAGGAGGCACAAAAGTACAAAATGTAATCAGTTCTAAGTAATGTTAAGTTTGATGGCTTTGTAATGGAAAATAACTGCAGTGCTTGGAGGTAGTTGACATAGTTTCAGGCCCTCAGGGCCTCAGTACAAAAGGTGTGAGAAAAGCAGAATAGAAGGACAGGACCTGGGATGGGGAGTATCCCGGACTAGCAGATGTCCAGGATGAGAGCAGTTAAACTAACTGATAAGTAGAAGGCCAGGATGATTGCTATGTCTGTAATGTTAATTAAGCTTGTTGGGAAAAGTAAACGACCCTTAAAGACCACCACAGTTTTGTATGCATGCCGGAAACCTTTTGGAAAATGATGTAATATGCTCAGTAACCATATAAGGATGACCTGTATAGCAATTCGGGAACACACGTTAGGAGGAGCTATCCCCCATGTCTCCCGTCACCGCAATAAAGAATACCTGCTTGTCAACTTGAAACTGTTGGCAAGTTTGTTCCTGGAGTTTTCTCCGAATCACTGTAGACATGGGAACTGAACAAAATTAGGTTCAGGGTTAACAGATGAAACAACATATGGGTATGTGACATATGTTAACAAGCCAAATATAAGAGGCATAATGTGAATTTTCACACCAATGAAGAAAAAGCAAAGTGTAAAACATGTTAGCAAAGTTATTAAAGTTCCAATTGTCTCTTCCAGTGAGGACAAAGAAATCACTTTCAACTTGATAAACCACCATGACAAAGGACTCAGGATGCTGATGACTCACTGTCCCAATATTTGAATACATATGAAGATTCCAAGGTGCAATAGGAGCATGGACATCTCAGCAGAAATTGGGTAGATAGACAATACGAAATATGTTTACACCAAGTTTAACTGTACTGTTACTTTAGAGATTTTTTTTTTCTGTTTCAATATTCTTTGCTTTATTTGTTTACCTATAATAATTAAGAATCGGACTAATAAGACAACTACAAAGTTCAGCTGATTAAATGTATTCCAGCTGAGCTGTTTTACAGAAAAGAGCTATCTCTGGAGTTGTATATTTTACCCTTCTGTGGTATGTAGAATGCATATTGGTGAATTTGAAAATATCTCTTGATTGCCTCAAGCAGTCTTCAATTGCAAGGTTACTGAATTTTGCAGCCCTACCTATGATGGACATGTGATTGATGAGAAGCAGATGTAAGAGATTAATCTAAGTCTATCTGATGTGGTCTCATTTCTTTCTCACCTGCTGAAATACACAGATTTTTTTTTTTCCCTCAGTTGTAAGGTATCTAAGAAAAATACTACTAAATCCCTTCTGAAATCACATGCTTCTTTAGCGATGAACCATAATGTTAAAATCCCGGAGTTATTTTGAACTTGCTTAGGGAAGCATATTTTATATATGTAAAGATATTTTGGTTGGAATTCAATTCAGATGTTCTGCTTCATGCATTTTTTTTAAGTTTTCTGCCTAGAACCATAAATATCCAAATTGCTGAGGACAGATAAAAATGACTGGACCCATCTACTGCCTAAACTGCGCTTAGCTGTGTGAAGAACATCATACTTGTACAAGACTTAAGGAAAGTCATAGAAAATTGTTATGACTCAGATCCCAGCTCTTACCCTTCACATCCATATCCTCTGTCTGTCCAGGTGAGTAACAGGTGAGTGGAAGCTGATCTTTTACAACATTGGGCAGGTTGCAGGAGAAATCACAGACCCTCCAGAGGCTGAAACAGAAAACAATAATTGATTTTATTATAAACTTCCCTAAAACTGTGTCAGGAAGAACAAAGGTCTTGACAAACTCATAAAATATCTGAAAAGGGAGGGGAAACAAAGAAAAGAAAAAAAAAAATTGAAAACAAAAGAATAGGCTCACCACCCCATGGATCCAGCAAAGTCTTAGTCAGTGATTTGTAGTCCTTCCAGTTATCATCCCTGTAGCCAATCAGGCAGCCAAAGTACAAGCTAGACAGTCACAGTTTTGCTATTTTATAGAGTCAGGCTCTCTTGGATCCTCCCACAGGTGAGGCTCATTTCCAAGCCTGGCCATGAGCCGTGAGCTGTTCTGAAACGTTCCAGATGGTGGCAGGGGGATTGGGTGAGCCCCAGGCCTGGTTAAGGCTGTGCCCTGACGGGCTTTGAGGTGTCTGTGCTGCTGTCTCTTGGCAGTTGATCTTCGCGGCCTCAGGGCAGGCACACAGGAAACCATTCCCCGACTTCCTGGAGCCCAATCCCTGCCCTGCCCCACTCATCAAGAGGTTTCACACCATGGACAGGCGCTCAGCCTCCCTCAGTGCCTTCTATCTTTTGAGTTTTTGAAACAGACACAAAAAGGGTCTCTTGACTATCATAGCCTCTCTCTCATTACTGAGAACAGCAGAAACTGTTGTTCACTGACTTTAACTTCCTTTCTGATCATTTAGTTTATCTGATCATCCTAGAAACTTTGCTGGTCTTTTCTGGTTGCAGCAACCCCCAGTATCAATACAGACTGAACTGAGAGCAGCCCTGCAGAGGAATTGGGGATACTGGCGGACAAAAAGTCCGTAGTAGTTCCACCCCATCTGAAAATCCTAATAATAAATTAATCATCTTTAAGATGCAAACCAATGGTGCATTCAAGGGCTGGTTTTGACTGAAGCATGTCTTTAGTAGTCCACTGCTAGAATACTCTGTGGGAACTGATCTCTACAAGAGTGTTCCAAAGCCACTTGCATTGGTCTCATTTTTGGTTCTTCAGGGATATGGTCTTTTGCTGTTATTTGCTAGTTTCAAGCCTGTAACATAAATCCTATTGAGCTCAGCTCCATCAGAAGCAGACTGCTTCCTCAATCAACTACAACATCACCGAGTTCTTTTTATCTGTCCGGTGACAGAGTTTGATTTTGACTATTCTGTATTTTGAGGGAAGAACTATAGCAGTAATTATCTGAGCAAAAAAAAAGGTTCAATGAAAATCTTACATGATATGCTTGCACACACACTACAAAATTGTATTTCTACTCTGTTTTATATGCATGTGATCCAAGAGTCAAAGAATATTGCTGTCCTGGGTTCAGCGGTCACAGTCATTTTTCTGCTTCTGGTGCAGTGCTGTGGTTTTGACTTTCAGCCTGGGAACAGCACTGACAACACTGGTGTTTTCAGTTGTTGCTCAGTAATGTACTCTGACCAAGGACTTCCTGAGTCTCATGCTCTGCCAGGGAGGAGGGGAAGCAGGGAGGAAGCAGAGACAGGACACCTGACCCAAACTAGCCAAAGAGGTATTCCATACCACAGCACGTCATGGCCAGTATATAAACTGGGGGCAGTTACTCAGAAGGGTTAGATCACTGCTCAGGTCAGGCTGGGTATCAGTCAGTGAGTGGTGAGCGGTTGTATTCTCTTCCCTTGTTATTTCCCTTATCATTATTATTATTGGTGGTAGCAGCAGTGGTTTGTGTTATACCTTAGTCACTGGACTGTTCTTATCTTAACCCGTGGGAGTTACATTCTTTCAATTCTCCTCCCCATCCTTCTGAGAGCAGGGGGAGGAAAGGGGGAGGAGTGAGTGAGCTGCTGCAGGATTCTGGGTTGCCAGATGGGCTTAAACCATGACAATTGCAAATGGAGTCTATTAACTTAAATATACCTTTGGTCTGACTTGGAGAATTAGGAGATGCCTGTAGTGAAATACATCCTTTTTTTTTTTATTTTTTTTTTTTGTTTATTTATTTAAATAAAGCAACAAATAAGGCTTTAAGTTCTATTACAATTTTAATCTCATGTATTGTAAAGTTTTAATGCAGGGTTTTTTTTCCAAATTGATATAAAACAAAAAAATAATTTCTCTTTTAAAATCATAGTGGAACGTTCTACTCAATTTGTTCAAAGTATGTTTATAGCTAGTGTGAATAGTACCCTAAATAATAAGTAAACAAAGGCTTTATCAGCTTGAACTTTCTGAAAGGAAAAAGTATTAGCTTCTGATCATGTTGGAATTAATGAAAATCATACCTTTCTTTCTTCAATATTTAATCAAATATTCCTACATGAAATGTATTGTAGTAGCTTTTCTGGTCATCAGAAGGGTAATCAGTGGTGAATTGTATTGTTAAATGAGATCTATGTTTACAGACTTAACAGAATCTGCTAATGAAAAAATATTTCAGAATCTCTTTGCCATGATATTGAAAAATAAAAATCTATTTCTTCTTGCACTAACCAGTAATTTATAGAGAAGCAAAAACTGTAAAATATCATAAAAATCAGAACAAATGTTTTAATATATATTTTTAAGACATGATTTTTGAAAGTAATAACTTACACTCTTTTTATAAAAGCATTTTGGTTTTAAGTCAGAAGAGGACAATGTATACTGTACAAAACTTTTTTTTTTGCAGTGTTTTCCCTCTAGGTTTTCTTGTAAGTTGTATCTCCTGATAGCTTTCTCAGGCAAGCTGAATATGTACAAATAATCTTCTTTTGACAAAGATTAAATCAAAAAGACTAACAAATTCTTCTTTAACAAAGGCCTATGCATGAAGTGCAAACAAATTCTGACTACAGGACAGAACAAATACATTTACAATGTCAGTGACACTGAATTTAATTTACTTCTGAGACTGATTACATGTTACTACTAACTGCTACATGTTACTAATTGCATGAAACAAGGAGTGCTTCACATTGGTCTGAAGGAATAGAAGATATACATCTTGCATGAAATGAGATGGGCTTGAGTAAAACACTTAAAATTTATGAAAAATTTACATTACTTTTCCTGTCTCCAACTAGTTTCCCTTTCTGCATAGGTAACTCCTCATCAAATGCCTCAACAGTTGCAGATTGCCTCCTGAATTGCTCACTACATGTCCAGGATAGGAAGGCTACATAGTGACATATAAAAGCTAGACACTGCATTACCAAATACTGAGTCTCACAGCTCCATTTAGTGCAATTAGCCATTTACCTCAAACTGGTGGTGCCCATATTTCAAACATCTGTAAAATACCTGTAAAATGCCCTTGTTTAAAATTCAAATACTTTCTGAAAACTTGAAGTATAATAAAACTGAATTATCCATAGCCAAAGGAGATAAATATAATAATGTAGAATCACAGAATTGTTTAGGTTGGGAAAGATCTTTAATATTATCAAGTCCAAATCCACCACTGAACCATGTCCCTAAGCGCCACATCTGCATATCTTTTAAATACTTCCAGGGACAGTGACTCTGCCATTTCCCTGGGCAGCCTATTCCAATTCTTAATGACTCTTTCGGTGAAGAATTTTTTCCTAATATAAAATATAAATCTCTCCTGGCACAACTTGAGGCCATTTCCTCTTGTCCAATTCCTTGTTACTTGCGAGAAGAGACTGATACCCACCTCACTACAACCTGCTTTCAGGTAGTTGCAGACAGCAGTGAAGTCTCCCCTGAGCCTCCATTTCTCCAGGCTAAACAACCCCAGTTTACTCATCCACACATCATAAAGCGTGTTCTGTAGAAAATATATGTTATATAAAATTTTATATATATGGTTAAGAATAACAAAATATTACAGACCAGAGTGTCTATCTACCATGATCTCAATAGATTTTCCCTTTTTAAAATTCAGAAATCATGGGACAAGACTTAAAAAAGATAAATTCATTTTCCAAGAAATAAAGAAAATAAAATATGTATTAGGGCAGCATCTGATTGCTATTTCAGATTAATTCCTAGGAATAAGTCTGCTACAGCCATTTAGAGCATATTTCTGTTACTGTGAATATCACTTCCATATACTGCAAGGCACTAAAGGGATCATAGAATCATAGAATAGTTAGGGTTAGAAAGGAATTTAAGACTATGCAGTTCCAACCCCCCTGCCATGGGCAGGGACACCTCACGTTAAACCATGCCACCCAAGGCTCCATCCAACCTGGCCTTCAGCACTGCCAGGGATGGAGCATTCACAACTTCCCTGGGCAACCAATTCCAGTGCCCCATCACCCTTACAGTAAAGAACTTCCTCCTTATATCCAATCTAAACTTCTCCTGTTTAAGTGTGAACCCACTACCCCTTGTCCTATCACTGTAGTCCCTAAGGAAGAGTCCCTTTCTAGCATACTTATAAGCCCCCTTCAGATACTGGAAGGCTGCTATGTGATCGCCATGCAGTCTTCTTCAGGCTGAACAGACCCAACTTCCTCAGCCTGTCTTCATACGGGAGGTGCTCCACTCCTCTGATCATCCTTGTGGCCCTCCTCTCGACTTGTTCCAACAGTTCCATGTCCTTTTTCTGTTGAGGACACCAGAACTGTACACAATACTCCAAGTGAGGCCTCACGAGAGCAGAGTAGAGGGGCAGGATCCCCTCTTTGATCTGCTGGCCACGCTCTTTTTGACGCAGCCCAGGATAGGGTTGGCTTTTTGGCTGTGAGTCCACACTGCCGGCTCATGTTCATTTTCTCATCAACCAACACCCCCAAGTCCTTCTCCACAGGGCTGCTCTGAATCTCGTCTCTGCCCAACCTGTAGCTGTGCCTGGGATTGCCCTGACCCAGGTGTAGGACCTTGCATTTGGCATGGTTAAACTTCATGAGGTTGGCATCAGCCCAACTCACAAGCATGTCAAAGTCCCTCTGGATGGCATTCCTTCCCTCCAGACTGTTGACTGAACCACACAGCTTGGTGTCATCAGCAAACTTCCTGAGTGCGCATTCAATCTCACTGTCTACGTCACCGATAAAGATGTTGAATAAGACCGGTCCTAACACCGATCCCTGAGGGACACCACTCATTACTGGTCTCCAGCCAGACATTGAGTCATTGTCCACAACTCTTTGTGTGCGGCCATCCAAAAAGTTCTTTATCCACCGAGTGGTCCACCTATCAAATTGATGTCTCTCCAATTTAGAGACAAGGATGTCATGTGGGACAGCATAAAACACTTTGCACAACTCCAGGTAGATGACATCAACTGCTCTACCCCTGTCCATCAGTTCCATAGCCCCATCATAGAAGGCCACCAAATTGGTGAGGCAGGATTTCCCCTTAGTGAAGCCATGCTGGCTGTCACCCAGC